GGCCGATAGACTTTAACACGATATTTGTCATAGACACAACAGAACAATAGATAGTAGATGAAGATGAGCCAATGTTGCACAAGAGAGCGTTCCTTGAGGCTATCGGTGAGGAAGATCTTAAAGAAGGTGATGAGCAACATGAAAGAGGAAGCAATCCGCTAACATATCCATATTTCATTAGAGATGTAGGTGATATTGCATCTAATGAGGGAGAGTAGGAAGGGGGTCTAAGGAAAAATGAGAGAGATGATGATTCTGAGGTCACCCAATCCCAGCCAAATTATTCACATGTCGAGTCCCAATAGTAAGAGGGTAGAGACGAGCACGACAGTGTAGGTGAGTATGAAGGATGGACAAGCTTTGGGGATTTTGGATTAGGACCACAACAAAACACTAATACTCAGGGATTTAGGTATCGTCAGGTGCCCACTAATTTGGATGATTTGTTTTTAGAATGAGTCAATGAATTGTCACGCGAATTCAATCAATGGCACTAGCGTGACCAAGATGAAGAACGATGTTGTCTGTCATTTTATTTTAGGTCGTATGTTACGAATTGTATGCCTTATTATAGTCCATGTATAATGATATACTTAATCCATGATAATTCTATGTTTATCCTTTTGTATGATGTAAATTAAATAGTAAACAGTAGTTCATGCGGGGAAAGAACATATCAATATTATCATATTCATGCAAAAAAATAAAAATTCTTAATGGAGTACCCCCATTTTTTACTGGATTCCTAAAAAACAACATTTACAATGAATTTTAATATTTTTTTTGGATTTTGTTTAAGGCTTAAATCCTATCGATTCGGCCGATTCCCGATCCGCATCGTCGATTTACCGATCTGAATGGGTTTTGAGGTGCCCGATCAGGGTCACCGATCCGATTTTTAAACTACTGGTTGCAAGTAATTGTGACTCCTTGTATCGAAGATAAATGGTCTCATCGTATATAATTCCTTAAATAAATATCATACTAGACACTTGATATACTCATATTTTTCTATGTTTAATTTTGTTGACAAACATATTTTCCTATGTTTATTAACGAAGTTTGGTTGTTACTTTTTCTTTATAGGAAAAAGCGGCGCAACACTAGGACTTACTAGAAAGTCAGTTGGTCATTTTTTAATTTTTTTGGGTGTGGTTCAGTATAGTAATCAAACTTGAGGTATATCGCTGCTAAGCGTCAGATCTTAACCACAAGTTCAAGCCCAAGCCCAATTCCTAAGTTTGCTCATTATTTTTTGATTAAATGAGCTAAAGTAACAAAAGCAAACTGACATTTTCCTGTCATTGTAGAAAATTAATTTTTGTTTTTTCAATATGACTATTATATCCCTAAGATATTTGTAGAGTGTAAACTATTATACTTTTTTCGAAGAAATGTAAAACTATTATGCACGCAGAGGCATGACCATATGGTTACTGGTAAGATTTAAGAACTCTCTTAAATGTAGAAACATAAATATCAAAAGTTGGATCCCACCAAGATCGTGTACTTATCTAGCTAGAAACAAAATAGGCGAGAAATAAAACATGAATACACACATACTACAATAACATAAATATTTATGTGGTTCACCCCAAGAGGGCTGCATCCACGGGTACGGCAAACTGAAATCCGTTATAACAATGAAAGTTACGTAATATATTTTGGGACAAAGAGTTACCACTCTAACTCTCGATAAAACCCAGTCGAATAAACCCTTTCAGACCCAATCTCTTCATCGACACCATCGTCGACCTCTCATCTCTATTCCATAGCTAAACCATTGTCTAAGAAGAGACCATCCCTATTCCACAATCGAGACTCTCTTTTTAGAGGGGAAACCAACCAAAATCTTTATAGGAACCACTTCTCTATAAAAAACCAATCTCTCAATTTATAGGAGGTCTATAAGAAACCAGCCTCTCAAAATCCACTACTCCAATGACTTCACATGCTATGTTGATATGGCCTACCTCTCTCTAGCGGAAGCCACATTTCTCGAATAGGACATACCAATTCTTTGCAAATCATATATATATATATATATATATATAAGGTTAGGAGTCCACACCAAATAGAAAACTTCCTATGTGTTACATATATCTCAAGAACCAAGAAATATTATCCAGATTCCCAAGTTTTTGGAGTCCTATTTCTTTTAGAAAACTTATCAATATCAATCACACTCCTACCTAATAAAGGATTTCTTTACGTGGGTAATTTTAGATAATCATCGTATCCAACAGTTACTAATATGCTCTTTATTGAGCAAACACCATTCAATAAATGTTTGGTTGGATGAGGAAATTGCCTTAAATAGCCCCAATTCATCTCTCCATTAATCCAATCTTTACCATCATGATTTGGTTGCATGGTAATAGAATGGTAAGCACGAGGAGTGGGGTTTGGTTTAAGACGTAGCAGTTGGGTTTTCACAACGCGTAACATCCATCCCTGTCCAACCTTGTCAGAAAAAGAAAATAAAAAAAGAAAAACAAAAAAGAACTCTAAGGAGGGAACATCGATACAATGTACTCCCTAGTAAGCATCGTATACCTCTCGGAAGCAGTTTTAGTAGATCTTGGATACTTTAACCCACATTTCATATAAGCACAACTCTATACACAACATAAAGAACAATATCAATTATAACATTTGCAAAACTATTTTACAATGCAAGCCATCTTTTTCACACAAAATTTGTTGAGAACTGGACATGAAACTTACACATTTCATCAGGGTTTTTTACCATATTCTTTTTTAGTTAAAATTTGTGTAGATCTTGAGAAACTTTAACCCATATGTCATGTAAGCACAAATTATACACAACACAAAAAACAATATCAATTATAAAAATTACAAACTATTTTACCATGCAAGCCATCTCTTTTAACACCAAAATTTGTCGAGAACCGGACATGAAACTTAAACATTTCATCGGGGTTTTCTACCACTCTTTTTTAGAGTTTAGTGCTCAAACCTAGAAAAGGTCAAAATAGTCATCATTAGGAAAAGAAGGCATCTTCATGATTTCCCATCAAGTTTCTACCCTAACTACCACATAATTTTACAAAATAAATAAGAAAAATTTATCAAAATATTCGCGAGAGATGTATTACTTAGCATTTTACATTCGTTACAACATTGCAACTCATGACCATGAGCTTTTTTGTGGATATTTTGAAATTAAATTAAAAAATACGAGTAAAATGTTAAATAGTTCATCTCATATAATAAGCTTATCCTTCATGATATATTTTTCTCTTGGTAATGGGCTGTTAGCTTGAGATTTTTGTTAAAAAGTAAAGCTTTACTGCTCAAAATCTTGATGAAAACATACATATTGAGCACCAAAAACTTCTTATAATAACCTAGAAACTTATATTTACTCATAAATATACAATTAGAAGCTACAAAAATAGTATAGATCTGGGAGATATGTAAACACTTGAAATCGAACAGTATGAATAATATGTTACAAAATACACAATTTTGAGCCTTAAATTTTTTTTTTTTGAAATATAATTGTCTAAGTCTAATCAATTTAAATACAATGTGGTTTGTATAAAGTTGCAGCCTTAAACAATCCAAGTAAGATGCACTTGCAAAATTTATCTTAAGATGTAATTTTAGTGTAAAAAATTCTTAGGATGGCCATATAATCTATTTTCTTAGGATGGCTATATAATCCATTTTCATATCTAACTATGGATTTTTAAACTTGAAAAATAGTTTAAGTCAAGTAAATCTATAAACACATAAAATCTTGAAAATGGACAGTCTAGATAATATGTTGCAAGATGCACTATATTTGGGACTCAAAATCTTTATTTTTTTCATATATTCATACATTTAAATGTCAAGATGATTAATTAGAAGGTTTTTCAATATCAAAATAACCTTTTTCGATGGGTTTTTGAGGTGTACCTTAAATCTACATTTTAAGGTTAAGCCCTTATATAAACCTTTTTCATTTGTATATTTTCATAGGGAAAATGGTTTCATGCGGGCTGGACCGCATTTCTACATTACGGTTCAGAAAGCGTAAAGCATCCATCTTAATAGTCCATCTAAAAACAATGGAAACCAACCATTAAAATGTTGTCTTACTATAATTATTATTTTTAATTTTTAAAAATTTATTTATTTTTTCATATTCATGATCTCAATGTTACATATTACATGTCTTTCAAAATTAAGTCTTAAAATCTCTCTCAAAAATGGATTTATTAATAGGCCCGTATTTCTATGCGAGCTCGACAGCAAATAAAAAACGTACGTAAAACTGCATATTTCGGTAGGGTTTTGAAGTGCACCGTGCAACCTTATAATAGGGACAAAGTTAGTCATCACTAAGTAAAGGACTCACTTGAAATTTTCTATCTCTGTTGAGTCTAATTTTGCTACTATATACATACACTGTAAAATAATAATAAATAATCGCGGGGGAGCCACTTTTTACCATATTTAACGGCTTGAAACGAGGGAGAAACTTATTTATCTTCTCTCTTAAATATTTCTCTCTCCTCTTTGCTCTTTCTCTCTCTACTCTTTGCGCACTCTTATTTGCGCTCTTTCTTGCTCTCTCTTATTTGCGCTCTTATTTGCCCGCCCTCTCTCTCTTATTTGCGCTCTTTCTCGCTCTTATTTGCCCTCTCTCTCTTATTTGCGCTCTTTCTCGCTCTCTTATTTGCCCTCTCTCTCTTATTTGCGCTCTTTCTCTCTTATTTGCGCTCTTTCTCTCTTATTTGCGCTCTTCTCTTTCTATTATTTCCTCTCTCTCTCTCTT